ACCCTCTGACAAATGACAGACAGGTATCTCTACCAATAGAGACAAATAAATACCTCTGCCATATACAAAAATGACACACAGGACAGAGCTAAGCAGCAGCGCTTTGGAAAATTGTAGAGGATGTCACAGACCAACATGATAAAAGAGAAGTGGCTGCTTTGGGGTTAACTCTGACACTGTATCCTGGATCTATGTTATTACTGTTTTTCATCACCTTTGAATTTATTCTTCTTTCTTCGTATCACACACATCAAGAAAATTAGCAAATGATTCATAAAAGATGTATCGGGATTAATTATGTAATTGAAGCACCTACATGTTTGTAGATGTACATATTTGACCATAAGAAATGAATGAAAGCCTTGCAGCAATCCAGCAATCAGACGTGAGTCTGCACACCCTCGCCCATTTCTGCAATCAAATCCATTTAGTATATATCAGAAAAATTATTATATACTCTGTAGGATTAATAATTTGACCTTTTAACCATCTAATAAACAGGCATATGAAAATGACCTCTAGTAAATGTGCAACTTCATCTGTGGCAGAAGCCCAAATGTAGCAAAAGTTAGAAGGCACTGAGTACAGTTTAGACAGTTACAGACAATTATGTCTGTAACGCCTTGTGACAACATGGACTTTAACTTTTTTTTTTATTTTAACCAACTTGCTACAGATATTGCAACATCACCAGAAGGATCTCCCTTACTGTCCTCATCCATTTACATTCAGAATATATGTATTACTCTGTATATATATATATATATGTATTACATTATTCTGATATTCTTCTCGGAGGGGGGAATTCAAACCACTCTTAGAAGTTATCAACAGTGATAAATACCAGATACACTTTTACACCTTTTACAATTAAGGTAAGAAAAGATATTCAATAAATACCTGTACAACATGGACAGCAACGAAAACAGTGACACATTTCTTCTTCAGATGGCACAGTATGACACTGTTTTACCTCCTGACAGCATTAACAAAACCCTGGGTGCTCTGATCTGCAGCCTATGAACACGTGAAGCACACAGGCTGTATCAGCACACACTGCTGTGCAGCTTACAGGCACCATCCACAGCCCCATCCCAGTGCTGCCTGGAGCTGCCCAGCTGGTGCAGGAGCACTGTGACTGCTGCTGAGGAATGTGGCAGGAATGGGAGGACAACTTTCTCATGGATTTCTCCAGTGCAAGCTGAGGCAGCGTCATTTGTAATTTACTGGAACTTTCTGCACGATTCATGTTTAAATTCACTCTATTTTTATCGTTAAGGCCCATGCTTCTGACCCGTAATAAAGAGACCTTTAAATCACAGAGTTCGTAAGGGATTTTTGTGGTTCCTTCACCAACGGGATTACATCTCCTGTGCGGGAAGCATTCGTCAGAAGTCGGTGCGGGAAGGCAGCCTGCCCGCTGCAGTGACTGACAGTCCCTGTGGGACGGCCTGCTGGAGGGACCGCTGGGAAAGGAAAGGGCAGAAGGGCTCCGAACACTTCCTCGTCAGCCAAAGGGACGAAGAGAGCAGCTTTCTCCCTCTGCGGCCTGTTTGCCAGCACGATTCCTGCCCTTTTCAGAACAGGACACTCCATGCAATAACTGGGCCGCTCTGTTGTATGGAGTGGGGGCGTGGAAACAGGTTTGATGTGAAGTTGAGGTTGGAAATGAGCCTCATTGGATTAGTGTCATTTACTTCAGCTCCTGCTTAATGGCTCGCACTGCTGGCCAGCCATACCCAGAGGACTGAAGGAAGTTTTGGTTCTGCATTCAATTATGGGCTAAATTGCTCTGCAAAGTACTATTCATTGTTACCAATACACCAGAGTGGATTTGCCCTCACATGCTTGCCTATCATAAAGAAGATTGCATTCCAAAGGAAGCAATCTCCTTAACCGAGCATAAGAGGCTTTAGGAGATCTTTGGCTTGAATGAAAACGCCTTCTTCTTGGAGCCAAGCCTACGTCCCTGGGAATAAAGTCCACCAGGGCTCTGTGAGAACTTCTAACGACAGAACCGTGTCCTTTGTCTGATCTGGAGGCTGCTCTGGATGCAACGCTGGAATGCTGCTCCTGCCTTACCCAAAAAAGAGGAAAGCGTATCCAGAAGCTCTACTTGCCGAACGAAATTGCTGTTTGTTGGCAGAGAGAAAAACCGGACCACGGTTTTCTTTATCTCCACCAAAAGTTCAGTGCTAGGACTTCAAAGGCAAATGCCACCAGCAACACTTCAGCAGCAAAAAGGCCATCAGCAATGTCCATCCACTATAAAGGCAGTGGTGCTGGCAGGCAATGATAGAATGAAATACAGTAGTTCAGACCCCTGATTTTATAGCAAGGCTGTAAAAAATATTTCCTCCTACGTTTTTTAAGTGCTTCTTACAAGAAATTGTGTGTGTGGGGGGGGGAAATGTCTGCATATCCCAGTGTGGCTTTTTGCACTTCACATAGCTTTGTGATGTTGTGTTTGAGTTGACAAAATATTTCCAACATTTCAAGTGCGTACTTACCCTTCCCCTCGGTTTCAGTGCCATTCGCAGCTCATTAGATTACCTTATCAGTGTATTTGCATTGATTCAAGGGAAATTCGGAGAAGTTAGTGCTAGGGATTCCCCGCATTTATTGAGTTACTTAGGATTTTCCATTTTAAGAGGCTGAGGTTAACTTGGACTGTAACTAAATGTGAATTTTTAATTTCCTAGGGGATTTTTTTTTTGGAAGTTTGTCTGCTGAACTGAAACTGTTTACAGCCCTTGTTATTCCAGGAGTCCAGTGTGACCTACTCAGTTACTCTCTCTTTAGCCAATCCTATTAGCTCCACAGTTACTTTTCAAACTCACAGTAAGAAATTCAGTTTTTAAACTGACACTACCATAGAATCAGATGCTAATGTACAGAAAAAAATGTATATGACACTACAGAATGTTATTTTTCTGCTGCTTTTATTTCCATTTCCAGCAGTTTCTTGAGTCGTTAACAGTAAGATGAATTCATAATTACACACTGTCTTTTCCCACAGTCTTTCTTAGTAAATGGCATCGCACACACAGGACAAGTATTTAGCTTTGCCCAAAGTCACATGCCCTATTTATGTGTAGGGAAATCCAGCTGTGAAAACCAGATGAGAAGCTTATTATCTTTTGGGGAAAAAAAAAATCACGATGAACTCCAAAGTATAATACATACGTTTCTTTTTCAAAGGTATCTACAGTCTTTTAAATCATCTTTATTACTTTAATGCCTACAGACGAGCAAGGATGGGATCCCAAATTTGTCAGCTCACACCAAAATCAACAAAGGGCTGCTTGTGCTCATGCCTTCCCCACGCCTGTTGTGCAAGGTCACACAGACATCAGCGCGTGGGAAAGACTGCACAGAACTCCTTGGAAAGAGGATTTGTGAGAAGCAAGCGAGATCACTGTAGCACCAAGTTAGCTTGGTTTAAAGGGCTGCGAGGTGTGGTTCCCTGCTGGGAGGCGCAGCTCCTGTAACAGAGAGTTTAAACCTGCCTGAGTCTCGCAGCCGAATGAAGGGAGCACCCGGAGCTCCTGCAGTCTCACCCATCCGCAGTGCTAGCACTGCCTCGTCCTGGAACCAAGAGGAGCCTTCATGACACGACGGCTAACAGCGTAAAAGAAGAAAAAAAAAACAAACGATGTCCCTGAAGCGTTTGCACAAGGTCAAAACAACACCAGCTGGGGTGGAGAAGAGGGAAGGACCGGGTACGTGACAGCGCGGGAAGGAAGGCATCGCCTGTCCCAAGGGCAGCTCGCACCGTAGCGTAACGTGACGCCTCCAGAATCAAAGGGACGGCAGACCGACACCACCCCTCGTGCTATTGAAAGGAGCCGCCGAGTCCTCTGCTTCTGCCCTGGGGAGCCAAGCCCGCTCACCGCTACCAAGGCACTGAGGCGGCTAACGGAGCTGCCACAGGGGACGGCCGCGTCCGAGAGCAGCAGTTGCGTGAGAAGCGGAACCGCCATCCGCTGTCCTGCGGCACCGGCAGCCACAGCGCGGCTCTCGGGCAGCGCCGGCATCTCCCTTCCCCTTCTTACATCGGCGGCGTTCTGACCCCCGAGTCGCAACCCCTGCTCACGGCGCCCCGCGTTTTAAATAAAGCCGACCCGCAGGTGGGCTGTTACGCCGCACATTCAGCTGCACCGTAGCTACCGAGCCGGCTCCCCGGGCTTTTCCACCTCACGCCACGGCAGAGGGCGTGGCGAAGGGCTGCGGGGCGCTCGTCAGGGCGGCGCCGGGAGGAGAACGACGCCGCTTTCCCCCTCCGCCCGCTTCCCCTCTCCGCAGCGGGTCTCCCCGCCCGTCGCAGCGGCTCTCCCCACCCGCGCGGTCCGCCCCGCCGCCTCCCGGCAGCCGCCGCCCCCTCAGGCACCGCTCCGCGGGGCGGCGGCGGCGCGCACGCGCGTCCTTTGGCAGGGCACGGCCCGCAGGGGGGCGGGAACGCCGCAGAGCGAGGCAGGAGAGGAGGGATGCGCCGAGAGGGCGGGGTCCGGGCAGGCCACGCCCGGTCTGGCTGGCGCCGGCCGGGGCGGGGGACGCAACTTCTACGGGACGGCAAGGCGGGAGCCGTTCCGTTCCGCAAGGGTCGCGCGGCCCGGCCCGGCTGCGGGGAGGGAGAAGCACGGCGAGAGGCGCCGGGACGAAGTTTGGGAGCCGCCCCGCGGCCCGGAGGCCGAGGCGGGAGGGGCCGGAGGCCGCGGCGTAGGGAGCATGGGAGGTCCGGCCCGGCCTCGCCGCTGCGGCGTCCGCGGGGGCGCCTCCGTGTGCTGCGCGCAGTAACAGCGGCCCGCCTTTCCTTGGCCTCCTCACCCCGCGGCGAGGAGCTCTCCGGGACGGCGTGCGGAGGCGGCCGGGAGCCCCCCCGAGGAGCCCGGATCCCTACGCGAAGCTTCGTCTCGGGGCCGGAGGCAGCTCCGCATGGCGGCTCCGGGCGCGCAGCCGGGGCGCGGGGCTCTCCGAAGAACGCCGTGAGCCCGCCCGCCTCCCTGCCTCCCCCCGGCCCTGCCTGGCCCGCCGGCGCCCTCCGAGCGAACTTCTTCCGCCATGGAGCCCCCGGGGATGGACTATTTCTGCGCCCAGGTGCAACAGAAGGACGTGGGCCGCAGGCTGCAGGTCGGCCAGGAGCTGCTGGAGTACCTGGGCGACCCCGCCCGCTCCCCCGACGTGGAGCAGGACCAGCAGCGCCTCGACAAAGTGATCGACGAGCTGGCGGCTTGGGTCAACTCCAGCAACTTTAAGGTGAGGCCGGCCGGGGACTGCCCGGCGTTCCCGTCGTCCTTAGGCGGCTCTGCCGTACGTGGGAAGTTGCGTCGGAGCTCCGTAGCGGCCCGGCGGTGGCTCACGTTGGGCTGTTTGTTCGCCGTCGGCTGAGGGGCGGCGATCGGCGGTCACGTCGGGGAACGATTCCGCCGGCGGGGAGCCGGCCCGGAGCGATCGGCAGTTCCACGGCGGGGATTTCCGTGTGCTGCCTGCGAGCGCCCGGGCCGTCGGCGGGCGGCGGTGTGGGCACGCCGCGCTGCCTTTTCTCCCTTGAGAGCCCTTACTATAACGGAGGGCGTCGGCTGCGGGAGAGAGCGAGAGCGGGGCGGGCTCTTGGGCTGTGCTGGGAAGAGGGACCGGTTGGTTCCTTGTCTCGGCAGGACGACTTACGCTGTTTCCCTTGTAAAGGGGTGAAACTGAGAGTGGAAAAGCCGACGTCGAGGTTGTGGTGGTTTCTTTCCGTCTGTCTCTCGCTGGTGGCCCCGTGTATGCGCGGTTGTGTTTTGGAGGGTTGTGTCGCGAGCTGTTAATTGCAACAGAGCGATTTGTTGGGTGCTTTGTGAGCAGCTCCTGTGCTCCCCTGTGCGGTGGTGGCTGCCGGCATCGCTGCCTCACTCACAGTGGAAGTTAGCGGATGCTGGGAAGCTGCGCTCTGCGTCTGACCTGCGTGTTTTGTCTTGAGCAAGCACGTGTTGGAACGGATCTGCAGAGAGCAAGCCCAGCTGAGCTGCTCTGTGCCATGTCGAAATGTTAGACCTCTGTTTTTTTTTTTTTCACAGAATGGCCAGGGTTGGAAGGGACCTCAACAATCATGCATCTCTAATCCCCCTGCCACATGCAGGGACACCAACCTCCACATTTAATACCAGACCAGGCTGCACAGGGCCCCATCCAACCTGGCCTTGAACATCTCCAGGGATGGGGCATCCACAGCCTCTCTGGGCAGCCTGTTCCAGCACCTCACCACTCTCTCTGTAAAGAACTTCCCCCTGACAATGTTGTTAATAACCTCAGGATCTGAATGATAATGTGGCAGGTGCTGCAGGCTCCTGCGCATCTTCAAGACAAATATTTGATTAATCGTTTTTTTTTTTAATTACTTTATTTTTGTTCATTTGTTGGATACCTTTTCCTCTGCGAAGGAGCGGATATAACAGCACTAGAAAATTCTGTTTTCTGTCTTCTGTGTTGCTGAATGTTTTGCAGCTTGATGTGGCTGGTTAGTTGAGCAGCGATACTGGCTGGCAGCTGACTTATTCATCAGAACTGTTGAGCCTGATGAGCTGGAGCAGCAAGTCGGGAACATTCAAGGAAGTTAGGAGAGGGAGCACTGTTTCCTCCTAGGTGACGGGTGTGGGTAATGAGGGAATAACTAACATAACTCGCCCTGGATATGCTGTGTCATTTTCCACTGACAGAAAACTCAGTTTTTGCTTATGATGTGATTTACTAACCACACCGAAAACAGCAATGAGAGATTTACTAACCACACTGAAAACAGCAATGAGAGATGCAGGGGCTCTGGGTTCAGAGCTGTGCTTTTAGCTGAGAAATGCCATCCTGGGAAGGGGTAAGAACTGGAGGGAATAAGAATAGAAGGGTGGATTTGTCAGACTTGGTAACAAATGGGGAAAAACAAATAGGTGTGGTGTACACAGGTACAGACTTGTTATCAGCAGGGTTGAATCAGCTTGTGCAAGATTTTGACCGCTTAAATAGTGCTTTTGCCTTCTTGATGTTGGCAGCTAGTCACAGAGCTGTAATAAGCAAAACAAAACTGGTAGTTCTGAACTCTGGAAGCAGATTAGGGAAAACTTGTGAGTTCATCTAGCTCATGGAAGAGGAATGCACGATTACCAGTTTGAGTAGCTGACAAATCAGTAAGGTGGAATTAAGAATGTGTGGATGGGTGCTGAAATGGGATGGAGTGGTACTGAAGGTTTGTTGGGGAACACTGGAAGTACTCTGAAGAGGGAGATGAGTCCTCGTTGAAGGCTGTTGAAGGCTGTCTGTAACAGGCTGTCTGTAACGGTTGCTTTGCGGGCTGAGTTAGCATGTCCGTCAGAGTTCTTATGCAATCAGTGATTAAGTGTCTTCCAGAGACACCAGGGAGAGCACAAAGGATGTGCATGTTTGAACGCCTTCAGTTTGGTCCTAATTAGAACTAGAGTGTTGCCCACTGAACTGGGAATGGTGTGCTGAGCGTTCTGGCACTATGGTTTGTTTTGTTTTGTGGTAGTTGGGACTGCTTGCTTTCTTCCTACAACCTAGAGGTCTTTGTGTCTGTGTTTTTAAATGGCTGCTTTCCCAGGGCTGTGAAGAGCAATGGAGAAAAAAACTTAGGGAAGTGAATTATGTAATCTTCCTTTTTAAGGAGGAGATAAGTTGGATGCAAAGCATTAAGAGTTGACTGATGGTGGTTTTTTGCTGGTATTTGTTTTCCCAAAGCTTAGAAATACCTGGCAATCACAAGACTGGAACAATGCTAATATTTGTGTTCAGGCTTGTGGGCCAACTTCAAGCAGTAAACTCATTCCACTTTCCTGAGGGTATCCTATCCTTCTATTACTGATACGTACTTAGAAGCTTTGTTATATTAACCTGCATGTTCTTCCCTGTGAATGATGCCTAGTCCGAACAGATTTGGAAGACCTGCCATACTCAACAGTCACTTGAAAAGAATTACAGGATTATCTAAGTTGAAACAGTCTGGTAGCTCAAACTGTTTTGTGTCTGAGTCAGATAAGTAATCTGGAAATCTGCTTTGATACATCTGCTGAAGAGTTGTAAGATGACATTGGAGAAATACAGCTTCAGCTGCAGAGTTGAGCAAGTCTGCTTTTGGTAGCTAGCAGTTTGTGTTCTGTGGTCCATTTCAGAGCCCATGAAATCAAATAGTAGTCCTCTCAAAATGTAATTTTTGAGTAGTGAAGCCAACTTGCTGATCTACAGCTAAATCATGTGTGACTGGAAGTAGTAAAAATTACTACCAAAATTCTGATGGGAAGTCAAGGTATTGCTTATGTGAGAAGAGAAGCAATGTTTGGATTTCTAACCTTTGCAGTAGAGATGTTCTGTTCAATTGCAGCAGGAAATCAGTAAATGAATGTTGTTCCTGTGTCAGAGCAGCAGATTACTATTGCATGACAAACAAAGTTGGATTTCATACAGTCTCTTGCAGGTAATGTGGTTTGTCTGTTATTCCCAAGCAAATCCTTGGAGTTAGTGGTTACTCTGTGCTTCTTGGAAAACAGGCTGTTTCTTAAGCTTTGCTCGTCAGCTCAGCAAATGCAGGAGATGCTAAAATAACAGCAGTGTGGCTGCTGTATTTATCTGTTATCATTTTAGGAAGTATGTGTTGTGTCTTTGATTCAACCGAAGGCTACCAGCAGGAGGAGTTCACAGCATGCAGCAAGGAAGGGAAATCTGCACTGCAGTTTTAAAGTCAAGAAACAAGTTTAGGGTAGTAGCAGCAGTTGTAACTTCTGTGCATACACGTAAGTGGTAGTGGGGAGCTGAATGAGGAAATGACTTAATAAAAGGAAACAATTGACAATTGAGAGATGGTTGACAGGGGCCATGCATGAACATGCATTGATGTGGCACCGCTTGACATATGACACACATGGACACATGACATGTTTTGACAAACATGCTTTCACATGCATAAATACAACATCTGTTGACCAGCATCAGCATGGGGTGGCATTTGACAATTGTTGATATGAGATATGTTGACTGATGTGTTAACAAAAGAAACATGTGGCATCATACATGTCATGACATCACAGCGCAGAAAAAGACATCTGTTAACATGCCAGTCATTGACAAGCATTTACATAACTCACGTTTGGACAAGTGTGACGGTGTGACACATGTTGACACACATGAACACAAGAGTTGTCATGTCACACAGTGCCCTTTGACATGTGGTGACAAGCTTCAAGAGGTGTCACATGTCACAGTGTGACAACACTACATGCTTAGATGATGATGTATGTCATGCTACACTCTTTGGTGTGTTAGTGTGCCATTCACAGGGAAGAACATGTTAGTATGCTTTCTTTGGCATGCAAATTGCTTTAGTGGATGTGTGGATGTGACCACATAATGCTGGTGTATGTTGACATGGAAAGTCACATATCAACGTGTGATGTGTCAATTTGCAACGCACTTAGGTAGCCTGACCCTCTGGTATATGTGGCATGCCTCATCATGTGTCAGTGCATGACATGCTTCTGCACATCGACATGCAACATGCTTCAGCACACATTGTCACACATTAACATGTGACATGTTTAAAAAAGAAATGTTTTGGCATGTAGCAGACTGAGGTGTATCAACATGTGACGTATGCTGACAGATCAACAGGCAATATGCCTCGACATCTATTATCTCACAGTGGTGTTCTTAAATGCTTCGGCAAGCAACATGCTTTGATACATGTCATCACTCTGGACTCTTCAGCGTGCTTTGACACGTGTTGACACACTGTATGTTTTGGCACGCTTTGATATGTGTTAATGTGTGATGATTTGGCACACTTACACGTTGATGTGGACCTACGTTTATACACTTCCACGTGTTGATGTGTGACATGCTACAACTCTCAAACACTCGGGCACATGAAACACTGATTTACGTGTGGTAACACTGAACATGTGCTGGCACTCACTGGCACAGTATAAGTAGCAACATGCAGGGTGTTGATACGTGACAGTGAGTATCAGCAATGACAGAATACAGGGATGTGATATGTGACAACATACGAGATGAACTGTGTTGACTTGCATTGATGTGTGTCACACGTGCACTTTTGACATACACTGACACATCATACGTGGTGTGACAACACAAAATATATCAGCATTCAAGTCTTGCTTATGCGTGAGCACATCACATATGAACATATTTGAATGTCAGTCAGGGCTGTGCTGTACATGTTAATGTGCTGCATGAATCAACACACTGCACATGTGAACACATGCACGCAACATGCTTAATACCATGTTAATTTTATTTAGACTATGAGAGATATGTCCCCAGTTGAAGACAGTGGAAAAGAGCCATGCTGATGATGACATTAGTATGTGGCCCAGTGCTGTTGGAGCACTTGGAGCCTTTACGTTGTAGATCAGTTCTGCTGCAGCTCCATGGCATGTACCCCAGCATTTCCTGCAGGTCAAGGGAGGAGGTCCTTCCCTTCTGCTCACCATCTGTGTGGCTGCACCTGGAGCACTGGCTCCAGTTCTGGGCTCCTCTGCGCAATTGAGATGTGGACATACAGGAGAGTTGTGAAGGGCCTGGAGCACCTCTCCTGTGAGGAGGCTCAAGGAGATGTCAGCTGTCTTTGTAAACACCTGAAGGGAGATTACTCAGAGAGCAGAGCTGGGCTCTTTGCAGTGGTGCCTAGAGCCAGGACAAGAGGCAGAGGGCAAAAACCAGAGCATGGGAGGCTCCCTCTGAACACATGCAGCAGCACTTTGGTGCTTTGCAGATGGCAGAGCGCTGGCATGGACTGCCCAGAGAGGCTGTGGGCTCTCCTCCTTAGAGATCTCCAGAAGCACCTGGGCACCGTGCTCTGGGTGTACCTGCTGGAGCAGGGGCTGGGACAGATGGACCCAGAGGTCTCTGCCCTCCTTAGACCTGCTGTGATTCTGTGATGCCAACTGATAACAGCTCCCTAAAAAGGTGTGCTTGAACACTCAGCGTGGTGTTTAAATTGGTCGTATTTACTGTGGTGGCTTATATGTACTAGTTAGTGAAGCAGAACTCTGCATTTGCTAATTAATTCATTGATAGACAAGTTAGAAAGAACCAGCACCATCCATGTAAATGTGACTTACATTGTAAGAGCTGATTAGACTATCCTTTTCACAAGGAGGGATACAAACATATGGACCACACAGGCTCTGGATCAAACTACTCTTACAGGAAGGAAAATGCAGGTGGTCAGATTCTGTGATGGTAATGCTCAGTGTAGGACTTTCCTCTGATAACTGTCAGGCGTCTCACTGAGATTTATGGAGCCTCAGATCTTCCAAATGCTGTTTGTGCCCAGGTGAGACTTTAAAGAAACAAAACCCCAAACCGTAGCGGCACAGCACTGGAAGGATTCATCACCAGGTATTTGCTGTCTTACTCAGGAATGTTCTTCAGGATTGTAACAAGCAGATAGGTAATAAAAGGCAGTCTTGCGTGTGTCACCTGTTGTAAGTCTCTGAGCTGTTCATCTGCAGAATAGAGGACTTAAGAGAGATTTAAGGAATGTATCAAACATGGAGAAGGGAGATTCTGTAAGTGCCTTTACGGAGGGAAGGGCTGCAGTTTTGTGTATTAATAGAGAACAGAATACTTACAAAGGAAAGCTATCTTACAGTTTGCCATTAGAGAACAGGTCTAAAGTGGAATTTGTAGTCTGGAAACAGATGCATAAGAAAACAGAATGTTTATCCAAAATAATTCAAAGAAAATCTCAACCTGAAGTCTTTTATAGCATGAAAAGCTATAAAAATAACTTTAAAGGAAGGAGTCTTTATGAAGCTTTGATGTTACCCTAAAAACTGATTTGTTATTTAAAGTTAACAATTATAGTATTCCACTTCCTCGTCTTCCTAAATCTTAGCTGCAGTTACTTAGTGGAAAGATATTAATTTAATATGGGATAGCATCCACTTATGTTTGCTATTGTCTGTTAGCGTGTAGTAAAATGAGTTTCCAAGTAAGTTGGAATTTTGTGCCTCCCACTTAGGAGGAGATCTAGTCTAGAAATAATAAATCCATTAAAATCTGTTCCATTATGTGGTTGTTTCAGGTCCTGGATTTTATGGGTGGCTTAGCAGTCTGTTTTCCTATGGAAGCACGAGTCCCGTGATGCTGTGTGTGTGGGCTGCCTGTGCTCCCATTCATCTCCACTCAGATTGGTTTTGGCTTGTTGCCTGGGGTGGACGGTTGTTACAGCGAAGGATTTTAAGAAAACATTCTTTCTGAAGAAAATGAGGTTTCAAATTCTATGGAAATAAATAGCTGATAGGAGGGATTAATTCTGCTTGTGTATTCGTGGGGAAATTACAAATGCCGGTGTTTCAGAAGGGCTTTTCTTGGGCATGGGCCTCTTCATGGGCAGCACCTCGAGGTAGCTGCAAGATGTGAAAATGTATGTTGTGTGTTCACAGCGAGCTGCTGGAGGGAATTAGGAACGAAAATTGTAACTGGGTGCAGGATAATAAAAGGGGAGAAGACGTGTCCCAGCTGGTCACAGTGGGTTGGTTTAACCAGCTGCTTCTGACCATGTTCTGGTTCTGATGTAAATGGCTGTTGAACTCAGGCTGGTTTCTGCTCACAGCTGGGAATTCCTCAGAATTCCAGTAGCATTTTGAACTATGTGCTGCTTTCTGAATCTTGAACAGTATCGAGTGAAGAGAAAAGAAAACTTGTGTAGCTGAGGAGGTAGGCAGAGGAGTGGTGTGGTCTGCACTGTGATGAGAGACTGTCAGTTTCTCTGAATTCTGCTGGGGGTTCAGAAAAAGGTTGTCATTGCTTTGTATGAGCTACGTAACCAGACTGAAGCAAGTCTCAGCATCTGGGAAATACTTCTTTTTCTTGCTTGTATTAGTGCTTACACATGAGGGCTTGATTTGTTTTGAGTTTTAATCTGTTTGCCTTTTCTGTGTCTGGGAACTGCACTTCCAGACTCCTTTCAGTTATTTTTTTCTTTCATCTTATTTTTTTTGCTGAGGCTTTCTGTTGGATGTTTCTTTCAGCAGCTGGTAGAGGAGGTGAGACCCTAAGCAATATGCCTGTCCTGCTGCTGGTCTGTTTCTAAGGAGCTTTGGTTTCCACTTCATGTGGAGCTAAATCTCTGGCAGCCTTCTTTTAAAGGAATAAGCAGCAGAACCACAGTACTAATATTTCAACCCAGAGAGATGAACAGCTACTTCCAACTCCTGAGTCCTTTTAATGAATTACTTGAATTTTTATCATTTACAGTTGCAAATAGTGAAACACTGAAGTTTTAACATTTATTTTCTTCCTATTTTAAGGCAAGTATTGAAAAATCTGAACTGCTGTGCTAAATGTAGATATAATTGATCCGTTCCAAACATTTGCTGACAAATTTGTGTTAATGAAAGCTGTTAAGAAATTGGCAGCACTGTAATAAGGAGTTTCATTTTCTTTAAGATATGGTGGTTGAGCATGTTTTCTTATAAAGTTAGTGATTTCTGTAGCATATACTCTAAAGAATTCTGTACTCTTCAGTTTTGTATATCTGATGCTTTTCTTTTCAACAGGTGGCGTTACTGGGATTAGATGTTTTAGGTGCCTTTGTCCACAGACTATCGGGACGCTTTAAATCCTACATAGGAACTGGTAAGTGAAAAGTCACCTTATTTTAAGACCAAAAGGAAGAAGGAATGCTGCACCCCTACCCCTAGCAGTGGTAGCTGGACATGTGGAGTTAAGTCCTAACTCAAATGTGTGAATTTCACTTATCTGCTCATTTCATTTTGCTGCTGTCCTTGAGAACAGATTGCAGTTCCAGGGCATTCACATTGTTGTTTTATCACAGGCTGTTTTTAACAGAAGTGCCTGGCTTCATGTCCTTGTCCAGAATGTGTGTGAATTATCTTGTGTCTTGTCCTCCTGCACAACCAGTTATGTTAAATTGCCTGTCAAAACTTCAAGCTTGCTCTTCTTTGGGTTTCCACCGTTGCCTTTAACTGTTAAGAAATCAGCAAAATTTGACAGGTTATGAATACAAAGATTAATTTGTGATAAGTTAATAACTAAATCAACAGAACACATGTCTTAGGATGCTGTGGAATAGTATTTCTGCTGCAGCAAAGTGCTACGGAACTTACATATTTTGTTGCAGAGGGTTTTGTTTGCGTGGTTGGTTTTGTACTTCGGTAAGGGAAATTGACTCATATTGTGCTCATGGAATATTGATTTATGAGTGCAGTTTGTAGCTAGCTACAGACAGTGCTGGGCTTCAAAGTCTTACTATGTTTTGGCTTATATTTTAGTTACTTGTAGAACCTGAAGTTTCAATGATCTTACTGATGGTTGTAATGCTTTCTCTTTGTTTCTTCTGTTTTTGCCTCAAGTGAGCTGTTTAGGTTCACACTTAGACTCTTCCATTGAAAAAGCTTTTTGTTCACTCCTGGTAGTTGTGTACACTGAGACTGTGAGCAAATAAAGATGTTTATTTATTTATTTATTCAATCTTGGTAGCATTTGTACGGAAAGGAGAGAAATACTGGCACTAGGTAACGTGTAGCATCAGTGGGCATCTGAAGCCAAGTATTCCAAAAGTATTTTCTAGAAAAGCTGAGAAGCAGTGCCCTCAACTGGAGTGAGTCTTCTGAGCATCTCCAAAATGAAGACCTATAAGATCCATTATGCTCAGTGTGCAAGTCAAACCTCTGCATGATCAGCTTTTCTATAAGCTTAACAGACAGGAAAAAAAAAAGGTTACAGAATGCACCATGTCCTGTAAAAAGGTTTGGGTCATTTTCAGCTCATACCAGTGAAGCAGAAATACCAGAACTCGATGATTCATGCTGACTGAGGGTAATAGAGAGTTGAGAGTAATTAAAGGACACTGTTGAAAAAGAAATCTGCTTCCTTCAAAATGTAAAGAACCACCAGTTTCGCAGATCATAATGTGTTGGCTCTGCAGATGTGACTCCAGTAACTCAGATCAAAGATGTGTGTCTGACAGTGGCCCATTTCCAGGTGCCTGAGAACAAAGTAAGAACAGGATAATACTGTAAGGATTACTCCTTCAACATGACGTGCAAACTGCCTACAGTCCTGGAGTTTAGAGCCAGCTGAGGCATAGATGTTGCCTTCAGTGTCTTCTTTAATGTCGCTGTTTTTGTACAGTTCATGGTTTTTGAATCTATGTATGCTTTGACTTCTGAAGTGTACTGTAGTAATGCTTAATTGTGCATGGTGTGACAAAACTCATTTTTTGGACTGGCTATGTAATAACTTCGTGCTTGCTCACCACATACATTAAGAACGTAAGTCATAATTTCTGTTCTTCTTATAACTGACTGCCTGTCTTTGTCTCACTTATCTTCCGTGCCCTTTCTCTTCTATCCCTGTCCCTTCACTCCTCTGTGGTTTGTTTCTTGTACACTGTTCCACAGTTTTTATTGTTCTTGTTGCTCCTTTCAGTGCCTTTTAGTTGTAAAGCTTTTGAACTGAGGAATTCAAAACAGCTGAGAAGGAATCTATTTTTATTATGGCACAATTATGTTTGTTTCCGTTACATCACAGATTACTTTCATAATTATTGATAATCCTTTTTTTTTTTTTTTTTTTACATTACTGCTTCCTGAAAATTGACCCAATGTATTCATGAAACTGTCTCACAACATGTTTCTTTTTCAGTGATGGTGCGTTTACAGCCCAGCCTGATGTTTCTCAGTTACTGCCTTGTGCATGATTCTCTATTTATTTCTATGATACCTTCATTCTTGTAAGCCCCCTTCTTGAGAATATTGTAAAAACTCACCTGCATTCTGTCAGCTGAGTTTCCTTCTGCAGAACTGTACTTCAGAGGGCTCTCAGAAGTTTGTAAGCTATCATGAAGGTGTTGCCTCCTATTCTCTGCTGGAGCTGATAGTGCATGTACTAATTTTAAGTGTAGAAGGTTCTTTACAGCTAGAAGAAACTACTTTGGCTAGGGTTTTAGATGGGATGGCCTCTGCATTGTAGCTGGATGATGAAAGTTGCGTGGAGGCAGGAAAAAAAGAAGTTATTTTTCTTCGCCAGGAACTTCTACAAAGTTTCCATAACCATTTATTTGAGGAGATGGGGAATCCTGTATTGTAGATGTGCAGACTTCTGGTCTTCAGTAATCAACTGTGTCTATATTTGTCTCCTGCTGTCTTCCAGGGAGAAACCTTTCCAGGCCTGTTAATCTTGTTCAGGGATTTCTTTAATTGCACGTGACAGTATGCTCCCTAGTTTTATTTTTTGGGTGATTTTTCCCTTCGTATTTTCACTGAGTTCACCCTCAGTGTTTTCTTTTTAACATTTTCCATACATCATTATTGCTGAAGCTGCTGTCAGTTCCTCATTGACAGCTCAACATTATTTTACAAAATCAGTGGGGTGGCAGGGGTGGTTTTCTTTTTAATTGGGAATGATCTGCACCTTCAGCTTCACTCTCCGGTGGAGAAGAAGTTATTCAAGTGAAGTTACAGTTTTGGTGGATTTTTTGGTTGTTGTTGTTAAAGGGAATTACTCCTCACCCAGACCTTGCTTCCCCTTCCCTGTGTGGTCCCTGAGTAGCTCCCTTCTGGCCTCTTGGTGTCCTTCTGGTTCTCCAGATGGGGCTGTGGGGGAATCAGTTTCCCAAGCAACACTAACAGAAGAAAATAGCAATCTCTTCCCAGTTTGTTTCCATTTCTTGCAAATGCTCCATGATTTCAGTATCATGGCTTCTGGAAGGCAGTAGCTATGTTCCCCAGTAGTGCTCTGCAGTGTCAGCAGCCTCTCAGACACTGCTCTGTAAATCTAACTGGAACAAGACACTAAGTGCATATTTTAGGTGGCATAAACAGGAGATGTGCAACCCCTCTGTGGTTCCTGTGCTTTCGTTGGGTATTTTAGGATGTTAGAAAGCAAGCTGTTAGTGATGATCTTTAAGCCTTTAAACTCACACTCTTCTCTGCAGGGTCAAGTGCTTCATCTGTCAAGGAAAGGCTTGGTCTGCAGATGGTGTCTGTTTGCATGGCTCAAGTGTATGCTAAGTCTGAGGACACCACTAAATTGGAGGAGCTGTTGACTCCCTCAAGGGCAGAGAGGCCTTGCAGGAAGATCTTGATATATGGGAGGGCTGGGCAGTCACCACGTGCCTGAAGCTGAACAAGAGCTAGTGCCAAAATCTGCACCTGGGATGAGGCAGCCCAGGACATGTGTACAAACCTGGGGACAAGAGGCAGGACTTCATTCACTTCCAGAGGAAACAAGCCAGTGTTGCATGTGGCTTCTTTCAAGGTGGCATCCTTTTATGAAGAACCACATCACATACTCCCTGCTGCTGACATGACTGTTTTAGGAACTTGGACACAACAATTTGGATTTTTTTGATAGTACTTAGAGCTGCTGTGAATTGCTTTACAAGCAATGAGAGTCAGGGTATGTGTTAGTGGATAAGATTCAAGGATTATGTTCTGGAAAAATAGAGCAGATTAAGGAATATTTGAGTTTTCTGTCTCTCACTATTTAGTACTAATGCTCGTTCTGTGATTAAAAGAGATTACATAAGAGTACTTAATTGCCTTGTCACGATCTGTTTTCCCAGGTGAAGGCATCAATTATTAAAATACTGTATATAACAAGTAATTTGGTTCTCTAAAGAAGCGAACGTTGTTTTGCCGCTGTTCCTTATTCTGCTTCCCAGCCCATCCTTATGAGAATGGTTGCTTAAAAAATGTTATTTGTTCTTTTTTTTTCTTCCTATTCCATATACAGTTCCTGAAAAAGTTTTAAGTCCTTTGACTGCCCTGATGTAAGAAATGCCAGCTGGAGTCAGACATAGATGCAGTGGTTCATTCAGTGGGGCCTGGCTTCCATCTGTGGTCGGTTACATCTTACTGCTTTCACATCCCCACTCATTGTACATCTGTGTCTTTTCTCTTTGGCAACTGTTTATCAACTCACTGTCCATAAATTTCTGAAATTCAAACCTGCTGATGCTATCTATCTTTCAGTGTTCCACGATGATGGATTCTGAGAGTTTGCTGGTCTAAAAAATAAATAAACAGATAAATAGGAAAATCACAACAGCTCACTTGTTTTTAAACTGCAATCTAACTCTTTTCAGCACTGTTTATACCATGTTTTTCTAAACCAACGCCATCACCAGGGATTTCCACCATCAGGATGTTCAGTATACGACACACAAAAGTGATCAGTAACTCAGAATTTATTTTTTTTTATTTAGAAGATGAATTTCAAAGGAAATTGTAGCTTTTTCCCCCAGTTAGTGAACAGCGGTTTTGGATGGAATGACATTTTTTGGATAGAAAGGGCTTAAACATGCAGCATAATTGCAGTGTGACTGTTCAGTAGGTGGATTTAATGGTGTATGGAAAAATGTTTTCCTCCTTACCATGAAAATCAAGAAGCGTATTAGGATGAGATATCATGGGCATGTATGATGTTGAAAAACGTGATACTTTCAGGTTTTATGGACTCACTTTTTTTTTCAGATTTTTATTAATCAATTTGAAATGCTGAAACTAATGTTGGGGTCTGCTGTTGGATAAGCCTAAGCCTAAATATAAAACCTGGAATAATTTAGGTTGGAAGGGACCTGTGAGTTCCTCTGGCCCAAGTCTCTGCTCAAA